AAAATTCTCCTGAAGTTTGAAGGGGTCAGCGAGCGGGGTCACCAACTCTGGCCCCTCCGCRCGCCGGGGCCGGCGGGCTCCGTCCCGCGGCGGCCGGGGCCGAGCGCTGGGAGGTTGGTCGCTCCCGCGCTGAGATAAATTTTTGGAGTCAGTTCACGGCCCGGGCTCTCCAGGTGGCCTCCAAAATCGATGGTGACCCGGTGACCCTGTCGAGCGGAGGCAGAGCATCCAACCTAAGGGAGGATTTAGCCAGGGCCGACAGCTTTCCGCTGAGTGTTATTGGGGACAGTGCAAACAGTTTGGGAAGCGAGGAGGTAGGTATGAGGAGCGGAGGTCATTAAAAGCATATTAAAAACAAATTTTTGAAATCCTCGTTAGCGGAAAGTTCTTATTAGCATCAGTCGGGCCTTAAATGAGCTGTTTTGGCAAGGACYGGTTTTGTCCTGCCCTAACAATATYGTGTCCGGAGTTTCGGTGCATTAATATATGAAAAAAAGACGTTTTATAATTTGCAGACAGCCTCTAATATTTTGTCTACATCTGGATTTCAGGCGCATAAAAGAAACAGGCTGATACGTGGAAAAGCGTGTTTACAAAGTACATTTTTTTCTTATTTAAAAACACCACAAAGTAGCTTCTTGAAGCAGGTTGTCTATTTTAAGAAGTATCTCCTCTAATGTGTGCATTCTCCTTGGAGCCAAAAGGCTTTTCATGGGCATAATTTTATATTTGAACTAGGAAACAAAGTAATGTTCAGAGGAAAGTGCAGGAACTTCACGGGCTACTTCCTTCACCAATGTGTAATATAGATAGACAGGCAACAGATTTGCTTATATATTTTTACACAGGAGGGCTGTGGTCATGCTAAGCTTGCAGCTATAGAAGAAATGATGTTTTTCCCTTAAGATTTAAAGCAGCACAAGCTGCGAGGGGAAGGGGAGGCTGCTGCAGAGGTCTGATATTTAAGGAAATTGATAAATTTGAGCTTTTGGGCAAGTTGTGCTCCTGTTTAACTGTCCTGTTTTATTACTATTCACACTAAAACCCAAGTCGGCCCCTGGTTCTCACATGAGCAGCGGGTACCGTCAGTCAGGCAAGTGCAACTACACAGAGAGGCAAAGCACCATGTRCAAGGTGGAAAATCGCTCTCAAGCTTCATGTGACTTCAAAATACTTCAGAAAGATGAAAAATGTGTTAATATTAGCTCTTGTTTTTAGGAAAAAAAAATAAGCAGAATTGCCCAGGAATTTTGCCAGTGTGATCCCTCAAGTGTCTTGTGGGGAAGGTCCCAGCTCAGCTCCCACTTGTCAGTGCTAAGKCTGCTCATCCATGGAGCTGCTGAACGTCGGGCACAGTCCCACTACATACGTGGGATGTATGTGCAAAATAACACTGTCCGTGGAGGCCTCGTGATTACCACAACGAGAGCCTCCAGCTCTTCACTGCAGGGAGGAGCTCCTCACTCTGCACAAGTCCATGGAAACCTGCTGGCTAAAGTGCTGTGTTTCGGATTGTTTTAACGTATGTACGTCCTGGTGGCATGGGTATGGAGTGTCCTGGTTCTGCCTAACGAGTAGGGTGTTGTTGGTAGAGCTGCTCCCCCACTGGAACTTCTCATGAAGATCACCCCAAACTTGGCCAACGCTTCAGACTTGGGAAGAGGACTCACTGGCATAGGAGCCTCGAGAGCTTTGGCCTGCTGCACTCTCCACTGAGTTGGTTTCTGGAGATTCTACAGAATTGCCAGCAACAGCAAATTCAGAAATGTCACTGAAACAAACATTGGGCTTGCATCTTTCCATCTTTCCATCTTTCCATCTTTCCATCTTTCCATCTTTCCATCTTTCCATCTTTCCATCTTTCCATCTTTCCTACACCTTCGTCTTTTTCAGTTGTTCATCACTAGTACATCTAGGATGCAAAACACTTGTTGGTGCGTATGACAGCAGTGGCTGAAGTGAGAACATTTCTCTCTGTCATTCCCTTTGGCTCAGTGAAGCGCTCTCTTCAAATAACAATTTGATTCCTTGAAACATTTTCTCAAGTGTGGGCAATTTTAGTTGAAAGAGAATGATATACATGAACAGCCTTAATATGGTCAGAAATCACCAAAGACTATGGTCTAAGTAGTTCCCAAACTGTCATATGGATCACTGGTAATCCATGAGGCCTTGAGAGGTTCGCTGCAGGTGGTCTGTGGAACTCTATTAAATAATAATGCTTATAGTCTTCAGTTAAAATTTTGATGCTAAGAGAATGTGGCAATCTGCGAGAATTTTTGAGAGCTTTTTGCCCCAAYGTCTGGGGGTGTCTGCTTTAGGTGAGTGTATCTCAGCCTGTGGTCCATAAGACACCAGAGTGTGTTCTGAGAACGTTTTCAAATTAAATTCCCCTTTCTGAAGAAAAATCAAAACAAAATGCAGGAAATAGAAGTAATAAATGATCACCAAAGCCTAAGGGTTGTTTGTACTTGATTGCAGCTGAAGCCACTCTTGCAGAGCTGCACGGGGACTCAGATGCGCTGCTCTGGACAGTGGCATTTCTCCACAACCTGGATCGYGAATTTTGAAGGTCTTCCTCTTTCTGGAGGAAGCAGTGAGGTTGAGCAAGAGCCCAGAGCAACCTTTGTGGCAGGGTTACAGGAGAGCTGCTCCTTTGGGAAGCCACTGGGAGCTATAGGAAGTTCTTAATCSTTCCCTGCCTACGGGACTGTCATTTATAGACCTGCTATTGTCTCATCTTTTATAAGGATGTTTCCTTATATTAAGGTTCCAAGAGCAACCGGACTTGGTCATGGTTCACAGCTACTTGTTTGTAGCTTAATGCCCATCTGATATGCTGTTCATGTTTTCACTTCTCTCCTGCACAGCATACTGCACATATGGATTGACTTATGTGATATRATTCTCCAAACATTTGTTCATTCATTTCTGTATTTCTTTTAGTCTTTCTTTTTTCTTTTTTTTCTTCAGTTTGTCTATGTGTCTTGATTTTGCATTAACTTAATTTATACAGCTAATGTGATAGCACAAGTGGAATTTTATTCATTTAGCTGGTTGCTTCGTGCTGGTTGTAATACTGYACAACTTTATCTTGAAGAAAGGCCACAGAAACTCACTTTCATAAAAAGCTTCTGTGTGTTGTGTTGTCACTGAGTGAAATACTTTTTTATATAAAAATAAAATCTTTAAAATCCCTATTATCGTAAAACAAGAACGAATTCTACYGTGAGCAGATAAAATGGAAGTGCAGATTATTCTGGATGCACAAAATTTAGCTTGAGGTTAGTGGTGGTTTAATTGTAGGATTTTTTTTTCTTCTTTTTTTATTGCTATTCATACAGACAATCATTGTTTTCCTCTTTGATTTATCTCCAAATTGGCCCTGCTCAGAGTCCCGTTTCTGGCGATCTCAGCAACATGTGGGGGCCTGGCAGGCTCGCAGGGACATTTCCATCCTTCCCGTACTGCTYGTTCTTCTTGCTCTTAGGCCAAGTGCGCAGCCCCTTGTTTCTCAGGATCCTTTAATGATTCCTCCCCGTCGCAATCTGCCCCACGGCTCTTCCAGACTCCAGAGCTTTCCTCATGGGTTTTCAAACCAATCTAGAAGTAGTTACTGAAATAAAAGCAGGTGATCCAGCGACAGGGTGATATTCTACCACTGCCTTGCTGCTCTGCAAGATCCCAGCTCTTTGTCTGTAAAGCAGGAATAACAACAACTTCGTAAAGTGATGGTGGGCATTTTGCTCCATGCCTTGCATGCAGAGAGAGTTGGGCTTTTAAACCACCCCTGAGTACATAGCGTGCATAAGCAGCGGTCGAATTTTCCTTTTCTTCCTCRTACACTGCCTCTTTGCTGGAAAAAACCCAGACAGGCGATGCCCTGTGCTCCAGGGCCCCGTAATTTCTGCGTGCTCTGGACAGCGCGTAGCCTTGCTGTGGTCATGAGTTGGCCAGTGCTCATCGAACCGAGTGCTCCCTTTCTCGCTGCTCCTTGGTTAGCAGTTCCTCTCGCTGTTCAGTTGCTCTTGCACGCTCTTGTAGTTTCCAGTTATGTAACCCATCTCATTTTGTGAATATGTGAATTTAGCAGCTGTCACTGTCAGCAGTGGCTGTGTGGGGTTTTTTTTTTTTTTTTTTTTGGCAAGCTGGCATTACTCATCAGTCTCATGGTAGTTTTGTTTGAAAAATGCTTGTGTTAGAAAAAGTGGATTTATCAGCTCAGCACTGTATGGTGCTAGCATGCAGCACAACAAAAGACAAGTGCTCATTTCAGTAGCGCTTGCAGCATTTCATGGGGCCCCCAAATAGGCTGAACAAGGCTTCTCTGGCAACTAAAACCAAGTACAGTGGGAAACTGTTAAAGTGGCAGTGTCACTGCCTGGAAAAGGGATTCTACTTTCTCCTTTCTAACAACATACCAACATTTATTGTGTCTTTCTGCTCTTTTTGCTTTGTTTTTAATGACTGTGATAGGAATTTCACTGAAAATTTGGGGGAGGGGGAAGAGGCTTATTTCACAGTTCTGTGCTCTTCCAAGTGAGTTTTTCTCACAGTTTCTGGGCACACAGACCAAACTGTCAGTCTGTCCTTCCCAGAGTGGTTCCGTTGTACGGGGAAAAATAAGATACTTGCTTTATTTTTTTTTTAAGTAATAGTATAGTCAGTCATTCTGCAGCCTTTCAGGGAGACCTCACTCCTTGTTTAAATCAGTTTATTTTCAGCAAGCTTTGCTGCGCTTATGCTTCCCTTTGGAACTGGCACTTTGGAATGCAAATACAATGTGGAAAGTGCCCTGTCTTTAACTGAATGTGTCAGGTGGTTAAAATCATGCTTTAAAACACATCGTTTCATACTGCAAATATATCTAACTGTACCTACATGTTCTTGGATCAAATTCATCACTATTTATTTATGCTCTCTGCTTACATTCTAAATAGAGAGTGAAGATAAACCCGCAAGTTTCACTTTGCCTGATAAATTCTCTTTTGCATTTTCAGGTTCTCCAATATGGACATGATGCCATGAAGTCTGTATTAGAGACGTAAGAGGGAAACATTTTCTGGAAAAGACCTTTGTTATTAGATGTAAGTTTTAGGAAAGGGTCAATTTTATAAAATGCATATTCTGGACTAACTGCTTCCCTGAAAGATTTTATCATCTATGAAACTGCATAATTTGCACACAGAAGGCTCATAGGTATCCAAAGTTTGGTATGATTAGCTGGCTGGGATTCAGTGAGATGGTTGCATTTCAGCTTCCCTCCTAGAAAGCTGGGTGCCTTTTAGACTGTTTCTGGAGTATTATGAGCCAATTGGAGGCTTTTGGTTCAATAGGCAAAGCACAGCTAAGAGGGCAAAATGATGCTTTGAGGAAGCAGGAGAGTGGTTCAGGAGTTCTCCCATCCTTTGGCTTGGAGGGGTTGTCTGAATGCTACAGAGCGGTCCATGTGCTGGTCCACGTGGGAACCAGGCTTTGGGGGCACGGAAACTGTTCAAGGTCTCCCATCACTGGTTCTCTGATGCCTCCATGTAATGTCCCGTTGCAAAGTGGTGTGAGCTTGGTCATCTGTCCTCAGGGCTGCAAGTGCTTGGGATGACCTTCGTGACTCCCTGTGCCCTGATGTTTGTAGCTCATCCTCTCCTCACCTGGCAGTGCTGTCAGGATACCTCAAAAAGACATGAAAAACTTAAAGGTGTGTGTGTAGTTTTTTAGTTTAGAGATGCTAAAACACACAGAGAATTCCCACATTGACCCAGATTTCTCCCACACGGATCACAGCAAAGCTGTGGTCATTGACTTGACTGATGGGACGTGGAGTTGAGGATGTCTCAGGACAGGCTCCTTAAACCTTGGCTCGATGGGCGACATCATAGCCAGGCCCTGATACATGAAGGGCTTTATAGAAGTAACAGCACCGATTTAAAAGCAGCCTCCCAGGTTTAAAACCAGCCCCGGCAGGTGTAATGTGATCCCAGCCAGTGAGTAAACACGCTGCCGCCTTCCCGACAAGCTGCACCGGGAACTCTGCGAGCTGGGAATTGCCACGGATAGTTGTGCTGCTTCTGAAAGGTTAGTGAAAATAGACAGTCCCATGTCACTGTACCCAGCACCCCGTATGTCTTGGCTGTCACCCCTATATCTGGCCGAGGTTGCCCACACCATTTTACACCAGACTGTCTCTCTGTGGTGAAGAAGGTGCATTTGTATGAGGAGAGTCTAGGCCAGACCTAAGGGCTTGTCCAGCTGTCGGATCCCCAGGGAGCACCCAGAGGGTGGGTGCAGGGTCTGCGACCCTGGTGCTCCAGCTCTCCCCCCATGCATCTACTCCCGCTGGCAAATCATTTCTATCCCCCATATCCCATATATCTGTATCCCATCCTGGCCCGGAAAGCCTCTTCCCCTCCTCCCCAGGCCCTCACTCTGGTTACTCATGAGTTATGATAACATATAAGCAGCTTAGAGAATTCTTATCGGAATAAGTTGAGCACAATGCGACATTTAACTCTTAATGACAGCCACCTCTAACTGTGAGTGACACATTATAAATTATGTTTGAACTGCATTTTTTTTCCAGGGGCAGATATTCCCCCTGCCACCCAGCCAGCCCTGTAGAGTTGCACTTGTGGCCTTAATCCCACTTGGATGTGTGCCCCGCTGCCTCCACTTTCCGTCACTTGGGTACTTTCGTAGTCTTGAGCAAGTGAACAATCTTTGTTTCTGTACCTTATTAGGCCAGAGACCACAGCAGCGCGCGATGGCATCAGCAGGCCCTGCAGGCAGGATTCTCGGCAGACACAGCCAACCTCCAACAAACCCCTTTTTATCCTCCTGTTTCTAGGAAGAATTATGATGGTGGTGCCCTGCTGTTGATCAGTCAAATCTGTGGTGGGCCCAGAGATAAGTCCTGTAAGCGCGGGGTACTGTGAGACAGCGGCTCCCATTCATTAGTGGCTTGTGTGCGAGGAGCCACCAAAGGGAGGGGGCTGGCGAGGGGCAGAGCAGCTGCAGCACGCGGCCGCAAACAACACGACTCATTCTTGGGAGCCCAAACTTTCTCATTTGCTGCTGGCTGCACTGAAATTCCTCCTGATACCCTGGTGCCCTCGGTGCCTCTCCCCGCGCTTCCCGAGTGGGGCTTCCGAGAGGTCCCCGGAGCCCGCGACCATTCTGCTGCGAACCAAAAAATGCTGAGGGTGGTTGGATGGGGGATGAGGAGGGGGACGCAGCGGTCACCCGACGTCTGCAGGCTCTGGCACAAGGAGGTGGTGGCCGTTGGGACGGGTCATCCCACTGGGGAACGGCTGGGACTTGTATCGGGTTGTGTGGGGACTAAACACGGCAGCACGTGGGCTGCAGTGCACGCGAGAACTGCAGACGTCCTTGCTGATTTGGAGCCTGGTGGGATGTTTAGAAACTTTCACCTTCCTAAAAGAAAAAAAAAAAGAAAGGAAAAAATGATAGACCATCAAGTTTATCATTTCAAGTTTATCAAAAAGATAAACCATGCAATAAAAACAGCAAAWTTATTTGGCTTATTTCTATCATTTTTCCATCAGTTCTAGGAAGTAGTCTAGTGTAATATTTCCTTATTGTCTCAGTTTGGAAACTGCTTATGGACATGTACATTTAAAATATACTAACTATAATTTAAGATGTTGCATATATGAGGACCTCAGTAATTACTGATACATAGCTATGGATATGTTGATGCTTTAACATCTCAGACTTGGTTCGTATGATTTGCTGTAGAATATTTCGACCAGGAATTAAAATTATTGTGTGCATATTACATAGCTGCACTGACAGAGCAGAGTTTTGTGCTAAAGTAGATTTTTTTTTTACAAGAAAAAGACCTTAATTTCAGGAGGATCTGTTCGGAAAGGCTGCTGAGCCCCTGTAGGAATTCGCACTGAAGCCTTCTGGCTGGGACCACATTAGAGCCATCTCCTAACATTTGTATAGACCAGGACTACTTAAGTGGCAAATCCAGGAAATTTNTTCCTTCCTTCCTTCCTTCCTTCCTTCCTTCCTTCCTTCCTTCCTTCCTTCCTTCCTTCCTTCCTTCCTTCCTTCCTTCCTTCCTTCCTTTCTCTATAGGTAGTCAGTTAAAAAGAAGATATATAATCTTTATAATCGAAAATCTCCATACAATCTCTGTGTCCCACGTGGAGACCTGCTTCATTACAACTTGTTGCTCCCACTTGTTTCAGCTATAGCTACAGCTATATGTATGTTTATAGATACAACACTGATGTTTGATGGATGAAGCAAATTTTTTTTCCTGAGTAGGTTCCATAAAAATACTTTGAATAATTAGAAATAGATGTTTTATGATATTCTTGAGAATCACTAACTATATTTTCATAGTGTTTTAAAATATTAATATTCTAATTTTGTTGTTTTTTTTTTTTTTACCTAGGATTCTAGTGCTGTTTGACAGAGGTACCTGTGGATAACCCGTGTCTCTTCCTACGCTTTCAACACTAAAGAAACCTCAAGAAGTCCTGGGGTTTTCGGATCTAACCAACTGAAATTGGAGGAAATGAATTGGTTCCCACTGAACTGATGCAAAAWCTTCATCTGAGGAAAACAGTCAAATTGGTCCACAAAATGTCTTAATGGGGGTTATTTAATCACTCAATCCAGTTTTCTTTGAAAAAGGATATGTCAGTGATGTTCATCCACTAGCTGAATCGAAATTATAAAAACATCCCTTGTAGAAAATATATGTGAGCGGACAACAACTGCAGATTTATCTTGCAGTATTCCTAAACTAGATGAAATGTAAATAAAAAGGCTAATCAGGCCAGAATATTTTTAGTCCTTTAGAGGAAACTATATCTGATGCTACTTAATTAGGAATGACTCTTAAATAATGATTTGACTGTTTCTTGCAGAGAAATTAAGTACCTACTGATTTTTTGTTTTTGATGTAACAAAACTCTGATCTGAGGCTTGCAAGCAAAAATCTATGTTTATAAATTTTAGCTGTTKACTAATCTGTGTAAAAGAGAGGTTAAAAGTTTTTACATCTGTTTTGTTGGTAAATTGCATAATATTGCATTGAAATTCTYGTCAATATAAAATTACATTTTGTGCTTTTTCTATCTACATGAGATAATTCATCAGCAGAAGGTGCGTGCACACCCACAGCCCATGCAGGTGCAGGGCACTGTGGCACTGGAGTGGGTCTTATATCCTGCCCRCATTGGTCTTATATCCCAGCTAGATGGGACATTTAAGTTGAGCAAAAGGCACATTTGCCTCTCCAAATAAACAGAATTATAGTTTGAAGATATGACTCGGTGCTGAAGAGCTTATGCTGTGTAGTAAAAGAGAGAGAAAGGACTTTGCTAAAGAACAACGGCTAGCAGCATTTTGATCCATTTTATATGTTCCTGCTCCTTTTCCTTCTTGTATTTAATACAACTTTCTAAGAACTTGCACTGCTCGTTTAGACAAAAAAAAAAAAAAAAAAAAAAAAAAAAAAAAAAGCACACACACACAAAAGGTGACTTTGCATTTATTCCCTATCAGCAAACCAGCTTATAATGGAAAATAGTGAGGAATGTCACAGGCAGTTCCCAACCAGCTTTCCTTCTATGAAAAAGCTGAAGATTGCTAAACCCACCCACCTCCCCCTCAAAAAAGGAGAATACTTTTCCTTTCAGATTTATTTGTATCATAAATTTCTTTTCCAGTTGATTTCAGGTCTTTCATCAGATTTTTGGTACTTCATAAAAATGCATTTTCAAATCAGTGCTGACATTTCAAAGGATTTGGGGGGGAATGTTCTTTAAAAGTAATGATGTCGTTGGTGTCTGTTYTATTTGTAAACATGCAATTTGTGCTCTGATAACATTAAAGTATTTTTTGCATCGGTCGTTGTGTGTTTTAATGACCTGTATACCTGCATACCACAGCGGTCGTGATTTTGGGATCCTGCGTGGGTAATGGGGTGTTGCTGGAGCCAGGACTGGCTGCGCTACCCGGGTCTGACGAGCGGCTTTCACTGCAGCAGCGTTTCCCTCCCTCTGCCCAGGCCGTCTCAGCGCCTTCGGATCTAGCTCTGAGTGCAAACAAACAGTGAGCAGTAAGAAAATAAAGCAGTAGATTTTAAGCTTTTGCCCCGAGAATGATCAAAAGCAACATTTAGATTCAAAAGACACATTTTTTTCCCCTTGAAAAGGATGTTGCATTAAACATTCTGGCCAGCTCTAGGTTGAAACCAGCTCACTTTTCCTTTTTAGATTCAAATTTAAGCTAGTTTCTGTGTGACCATTTTAAAGGGACACACACACAGCATAACTCAACACCATGCTTGACTCTTACCTCCTGCTGGGAAGGATACCTTAACCCCACTGTTGCTGAAAAGAGGAGAGAGAAAAATAGTTTGTTTTTCTGTACACTGCTTCCCATGGCCGCTTGGCATTACTTAAGAAAAGCGAGTTCACAGTCCCTCTGTGTGGTGGGTGACCCTGCAGTTTGCACGGTACTTTCCATACCTCCATGGCTGTAGACCAGCAAAACCCTGAGCAAAACTCTGAAAAGTGAAGCAAATGAGCTGTCTGCCCTCAGAAAAATCACCACATGTGCTATATGGCCTCGCTATATGAAAAGAAGATTGGTTGCTAGATGATCTTGTGGAACATGAAGCTGTCAACAATTACTTGAAAATGTGCTAAGCTCCCTGCATCTGCCAGGAAAATTGTAACATGAACTGGTTTTGTAGAAACTGCTTAAAACACAGTTGTGAAATTTAGGTAGGTAGATCTGCGACCATTTCTCTCTTATTTTTTATTCTAAGGAGAAATYGGGATTTTTTTTTGTTTTTAAGCAGTATACCAGGAAAACAGACCACGGCCACCCAGAATAACCACATTCCAAAATCTTCCCTATGTTTCTCCCTTCAGCCATCCCAGCTGAAAGCTTTTGTAAGCATGTGGGGGCAGCACTGACCTTTCCATTCTGTTTATATTATGACGAGCAAAATAAAACAGCGGCCGGGGATGACCTGAGCTGGTTGGAGCTGCCTGGAGAAGTTACGAGCAGCTCTAATTGGAGGCTTTTCCCGTGCTGGCCGGTCCTGCCGTGGGACGCCGGCTTGGAGCCAGCAGGGATATTCACTGGGTTGTAATCAGTGCAACAAGAGGTTGGGGACCGTCCTGTTCTCAGTCGCCTTGTGGCTGTGTGGTCTTGGTCCCCAAGAGTCAAACAAAAGCTTTAAGTCCTCATATCCTTGGCATTCCATTTTCTTTTTTTCTATATAAAAAAAGCAAAGTTTGTTTGCTGTAAGATCAKGCTTGCATCTCTGTCACTGCCTAAAGGTGCAACCAGGGCAAAGTGGCAGCCGCTGCCCAGTGCAGAGGCCGCATCCCACACGGCTCCCATCTGCCCCGTCGGAATCAAGGGCAGTTTGCAGCTTTCGGGCAAAGGAGCAATTTGTAAAGGGCAATGTAGTATCTGTGTATGAACATGCAYAAAAACAGGCGGTACTAATGCCTCACGCTCGCCACGCTGATGAATGCCTCTAATTAGCCCCTTGGATACCTCTAACTTTGCCATGGGGAGAAAACGCCCTCCAGGTCAGCATAAACTTGCAAAGAGGAGGAAAATCTATTTTGAAGCAGGCAGCTCCTATCCTAGCACCCTGGAAAATCCGCCCTCTACTCCAGTGCCCCAAAATTGTGGTGCCCTGCAGCCCAYAGCAAGCTGGCTGCACATTTTTTTTCCAAGATTTTTTTTKKGGGGGGATGTCTGGTCTGGAAGTGACATTCTCCCTGTGGYGGCTCTAACCTCCTTCATCCTTCAACCTGGATTTGGGTCCCTAGACTCATGTGGCCAACAGAAGTGCTCAGCGGAAACCAACTAAAGGTTCCTCCAGCCCCAGCTTCGGTGTCAGTAAAGCAGCTTTTGGAGCTCGCTTGTGGAAACACCAGAGAAACCCTTTGCTGCTTGGGGAGCAGCAGATCYGGGGGCCTTTCGGGAGCAGGGAGGAGGTGCGTGGGCCCCATGGGTTGCAGGGGTCTCCACAAGGTGCCCGAGCAGGTAACGAGGGCCCAGTTGGAGYGGCTGGAGGCGCAGGGACCTGGCGCCGGGCGCAGGACGACCTGCGGGGTGGCCACACGCTGGCCCCAAAGAGCAGTGCGCACGGCCCGGCCTGGCGGCCGCGGAGCCAGCAGGCCCCATCCCCATCAGTTTTAAACACTGTTATTTATTCCGCATATTTACTTATTTATTTTTAAGCTGATAACATTCTGAACATTTCACGAGCCGGTGGTTTCTTGGGAGGCTGGGAGAGCGACGGATTTGTTCTAAAAGAAACTTCTGTGGAGAAGGAAACTGTGATTTCATCTGCTGCCAGCCAAGGAGAAATGTTGGGTGTTTGATTTCAACGGAGAATTTGCTGTGTATCTGGTGTTTTATCTATCTTTGGAAAGATTTGATGTTATGCTCGGTGGAGTGCTCAGATTTAAGCCGCTTTATTGCGCCGCGCACTGCTAAAAGTTTTGATGTTTTAGCCTTGCAATGCCAGGGGAATAAAAACCTGGCCTGCAGTACACATGTAGAGGGTGAAATGCATTTCATATGGTCCAAGCGAATCTTGAATATTAGGTTGGGAGTTTTTATAAACACCTGATCCTATTGAGAAAAAGACTTTTTTCCCCCCCGTTTGCAATGTCTTAGAAAGACATTGCACGCCTGTGGCTCTCAGCGATTCCCTATGCCCTGGATCGAGGAACTGAATCATCTTCTGCAGCACACAAAACTCCTCTGCTGGGACACAAACCCAGCTAACCTAGTGTAACTTCTTGCTTGGCTAAGGAAATTAGCTSTAATGCCACCACTATAAATCTTGGCTACGTCACCTGTGTTGATTTACTGTGTGCATTTCCCTTTCACCTTGAGCAATGCAGCTACTTCAGGTTGTTTCCACGTGCCAAGGAGCCAGTGGCAAGTGCCGTTTGCAGTGTGGGAGAAGCTTGGAGGTTCACACACCTATGTGATATTTATGGTGCATTATCCATTGGTATTTATTTTTTAGCATTATACAAATACAGAGCTGTCTGTAGCGGCAAACTTGGATAGGTTCTCTTAATTTTTATGTATATCTATAATCTCATTGACTGCATGAACTGACATGCACTGGAGAGCACAGCTGCAGTCATTCTTGTCCTTGTTCCATCTGCCCTGTTTGCTCCCCCTGCCTTGTTCATGGAAGTCACTCTAAGCTGGGCTGGTTCARACATTGTCCTTACAGTCTGGCCCACGTTTTGTCAAGTAAATCTTCTATTCACAGTTATGAAGTATATGAACTGTGGTGTCTGGGGGTGCACTAYGTCTGAGGTGGTGGCAGTTCCCATAAAGGTGCAACACTAGGTAGCTGGGGACATAACCTCTGATATTAGCACAGCTGGAACCCCTCCAGTAATATCTGTCAGCTGTGAGATTACCTTCATGGTAAATCAACTATTAGAATTATTATTAGGATTACTGCAGTTCACTGGCCAATACGTACACATTCAATAACGGGCACTGTCTTCTTACAACCTCCAATTGCAGCTTGCAGCATTTTGATCATAAGTTGCAAAACCATCTGCTTGTAACATTCAATGCTGAAGCCTTACAGCTTGGTTGTATTAGCCCAGAAGATCACAGATAGGTAACCTTTTCTGCAGTGAAGAGCTCATTTAACTTAACTCAATAGGCCTCAGCTGTGGTATTTATTAGTAGAAAACTCCCTCAACCTGGTTGCTTGCAGTCCTTCAGTCTGAGCCTGGCTGGTGTCTAGAAGTTACTGCTGCTAGTCCAGGTAAGGTTTGTTTTAAGAAAATACTCTTTTAAAAATGTATTTWTATATATATACTGTTWTTGTTATTTTCATATATTCATATATGTATATATTTTTTATGTTTATTTGTGGTGGTGTTTTTCTGGAAAGCATGAAAAAAATTGTTTGAGTAGGATGGAAATACAGTAAGGTCTGTTCCTTGTAATGAAGCTTGGTGTGTAATGTTGCTGTRTTTCCCCAGAAAGGTGTTTTCTTTGAACTGAAAAATTGAGTGTAGCAATTGAAGTTGATTTCAGTTCAGAAYGTCTAATGAATTTAGATGAGGGGAAAAAAAAGCTCTAATTCTTTGCTCAGAGAGCAGGTATCCCTCACCTGGGGTAAGGGTGTTGTATCAGTATTYTCATAAAGCAAAGTTTGCTGTTCTGATAATGTCTTAACTAACTTGCTTAGTCCTGCAGAGTGGAGGTACTGCTCGTGGTGACCTGGGTTGCCACTGGAATGATGAGTGGTTTTAGGAGTTTTGGGGCTATTCTGAAGTCTAAACTGAGGAATAAGTTAATTCATGGAAAAGCTAAGAGTAATTTAGGAAGCTGTGGTCTGGTCCCTTGGTAGG